CATTTTGAACTTTTAAATAGCGCAAACTTTCTGATATTTATCTATATATCATGCCGATATAAACAAATAACGCGTTTAGCGCATAGTAGCCTTAAATTAGGTGGTTCAAGATTCGGTTTTTTCTCTGACCATATTTGCGGCATTATTGAGAAAAAGACATGAAATTCCCTGTTAAGTGTTCTTTTGCGGTGTTCTCTGGACAAGACCATTACGTCTTCTTGGTGCACTTAAATAACCAAGAAAAAATTGTGGTTGCATTTACTTTTTTTATAAAAATAAAATAAAAGCTACATTTTATACAGGATAGCATAGATTGTTTGTCATGCCCCAAATATTATTAATAGTCTTTTAAATACTTACTCGTTATTGTATTTGATATCTTTGTTAATTGAGAAAAACTACTTAAATTACACCTTAACTGTTTATGAACATGATTTTCACACACTCAATATCCCATACCCAGTAATGTTATGTGCTATTTTTGTTCTTGTTTTTGCATGACCATCTCCAGACCCTTAAAGTAAATCGGGTATAAATTTGGTTAGGGTCTTTCAAACCCAACCTCAATTTAGACCAGTATAAACAATTCCAGGTCTGGTAATATCTAACCCACACCCAATACATGAACAGCTTTATATATAGACAACGTTGGTGGACTATTCTTGGATTTTCTGTTCCCAAAAACTACATATACTTCTTATTACAATAACACCTTATAAGGCTTGATAAGCAAGAATTGCAGCAGCAAGATCAATGTAACAGTCAGGTTGTCCTTGAGAAAGTAATGCATTGTTAAGCTAGCCTAGACGGTAGTTACAGTTTACCATGTATGATGTGTTTTATTAAAGGTTGCTTAATTTACTTAAACTGAGCTTCCGTTTTGTTAGGAGTATGTTATATTTACTAAAATAAAACATTTTTTTTTGTTTAATAATAAAACAACTTTAATGTTAAATACTCATGGAGAGAAACCTTTCATATTTATGCTATAGCCCACAAGGGTACTGGTGTAGACTTGCGACAGTTAAAAAGCTTGCAGTTGCCGCAAAAGTATCTGAACAAAATGCTGGTAAATGGTTTGTAAAGCAAGCAGTATGTCTAATCCACTTATCCTGCAGATGAGATAATTACATACCAAGAGCCATAAAGTTCATGAAATTTATCATAATAGGGACCATCAAGCAGATCTGCTTTACATGTCTCATGACAGAAGTGGTTGTTATACTTATAAGCATGCTTTAATAACCACATAGTAACAAGAATTTTTCTGAAAAAGATTCTGAAGACTCTATTTCTGAATCTACTTCTAGAAGCGCCAAAAAAAAAAACAAAAAAAAAATATCAAGCAAAAATGAAGCGAAATATTAAGAAGATGTAAAAAAAGATTCTTCTCAAATTCAAATAAGCGCGCATTGATTTTACTGGTTATTACCAACTGCACAAAACGAAAGAGAGATTGTTTTGCCGTTTTAGTAAAATTGATGGCAATATAAAACTTCTTGGCATTCAGCCAATGGAAAAAGGTACTGGAAAGTCTTAACATGATACTTTGTAAACATTTTGGATAAATATAAGCTAAGAACATATGTAAAGGATCTGTGTTTTGATACAACTGCAACTAATACTAAATAAAATTCAGGCACAAACAATAGGTTTTGTGAAACACAGGATTAAATTATATTCCAGCTTGCAATGTCGACATGTTTATGCAATGTCGACATGTTTATGAGCTTCACAGATATTCATATATATATATATATATATATATATATATATATATATATATATAATATATATATATATATATATATATATATATATATATATATATATATATATATATATATATATATATATATATATATATATATATATTCATATATATTTTTTACCAAAAACGCTTTCAGCGTTTTTGGTAAAAAATTTGCATTGGTAAAACTTATGCTTTTGAATAAAAACATTTTTACAGGCTTCACTGCAAACATTTTGTGGAACAGGTTCACTTCACTGCAAACATTTTGTGGAACAGGTTCTCATTAGTAAAACTTATGCTCCTAAAAATCTAACGTTTAATGAACTTCAATCCAATAGAAATGCAACAAAGAAATCTATGATTAATAGGATTAATCAAAGTTTGTAAAAATAGATAAAGCTACTGTTAAATGAAAGTATTTTGAACGTATTTTGAAGAAACTATTCATTAACCATTTTGCAAAATAAGCACTAACCATTTTGCAAATAAGCACTAGCCAAATTTCACTCGCAAATAAGCACTTGACAAGTTTACAAACAGTTTTAGCCTGGTATAATTATATGCTAAAAGTTTTAAAGAATAACTTGTCACAGAAAAAAGTATATTTTTGTTACAATATGTTTTAATTTTATCGTATCGTTAAATAAACTTTTATTAATTTTAGTTTAAAGAAATATAAAAATTATAACAGTTTAAGGAAGCATAAAAATAATAATAATTTAAGGAAATATAAAAAATAATTCATGAAAATAAAAATATTATTTTTTTTTACAACAAGCAACTACAACGGTTTTAGAAAAAATCAACTTCAAAATATAAAACAAATTCATCAAGAAAAAACCAGTAATTTCATTAATTTGCTAACAACATAGAAAAACCAATCGGATGATTACTGTGAAAGCAACATTAAAAATCCAAGTATCAGATGTAAAAATATCTGAGTTATCAAAAATCTCATAAAATATTAAATACTTACAAACAAAAAATAAAGATATATATATATATATATATAATATATATATATATATATATATATATATATATATATATATTATATATATATATATATATATATATATATGAATATATATGAATATATATATATATATATATATATATATATATATATATATTTATGTATATACATATATATCTTTAATTGGATATATAATAGTATATATAATATAATTGAATATATAATAGTATATAACTGTAGAAATATATATATATATATATATATATATATATATATATATATATATATATATATATATATATATATATATATATATATATATATATATATATATATATATGAATATATATATATATATATATATATATATATATATATATATATATATATATATATATATATATATATATATATATTTATGTATATACATATATATCTTTAATTGGATATATAATAGTATATATAACTGTAGAAATATAATATAGAGGTTAACCGAATTCTCTCAAACACAAACACACTCATGCATATTAGCATCTAAAGCATCAAAAAGGAAAATAATGTGTATTTAAAAATAAAATTTTAATAAGAAAAAATCGTTTTTTAATCAAAAATCGCTTTAAAAAAATTACTTGAAAAACAAAGCCGGTATAAAAGATAATTTTTCTAATAGAAAATTTGGTGATAAAAAAAAAATTATTCTATAAGAAATTTTGTGTAAAAAATGGTTTCGCCCAATTAAAATTTAAGGTAAAAACATTGTTTTACAACTATATATTGAGTAAAATATATTTTTTTCTAATAGAAATTCAATAAGTTTTAAATAAAAAATAAAATAAACTTATATAAATCTAATTAAAAAAATAAAAAACATGTTAAATAAATTCCAAATTAAAAAAAAATTCAAAACTTTATTATATATATATATATAAAACATAAAATTAGGAAACTTTTATAAAAAAACGGTAATTATCATTTGCTTTATTTATTGTAGTGTGGGAAAACATGTAAATTTTTTGAAGGCATAATCATTGATAATTGAGGAATTCCTAAAGCAGTATAATAACCAGAGGATAAATGTGTATCAAAAGTAGAAAATACTGATGGTCTTTGCTGAAAAAAGTAAGGCATCTAAATATAAAAAAATATATATATAAATAAGACATCTTTATACACAAAAAAGTATGAAATCTAAATATTCAAACACAAAAAAAAAGACATCTAAATCTCCAAAAATGTGTAAATATTTTTAGTTCATTTTTTATTACTCTTTAGAACAGTCAATTACTCTTTAGTCAAGTGTTTGTGAGAGAAGTATGGTTATTTAGTCAAGTGTTTGTGAGAGACGTAAGGTTATTTACCGACTAAAAAAAAGTCGTCCAATTTTCTAATTTTCCGACTAGACATAGATAAAGTCCTATTTTACCAAACATATCCACATTAAGGTTTCAATTTGTGGACTAAAAGTACAAAAAGATCCTAATTTACCGAATGATGATATAAAAATTTATTGATTGGGGGAGGGGGTACAAGCTATTCACCCATAGAGCGCCGGCCTTGCAAACAAAGTCTACCTTCGTATGCTAATTTGATTGTGTTGTGATAACTTATTAGTTTTATATTTAAAAAAGTAATAATAAGAGATTCAAAAGTATTTAAAATTTAATTTAAATTAAAATAGTTTTATTTTAAAAAAACATTTTTTTTTTTAGATTTTTTTGCCAAGCTACATTATCTATCAAAAATCACAAACGTTATATGTATCAAATAAGGTAACATATTAGTTTATCATGAGTATATTGAATAAAATAAATCCATTCTTAACTAAAGCCAATTTATTTGCATTATATTATTCGTTGGTCACAACAATTAAACTATATTGTATAACTTAGAATTCGGAAACTATTTTTTTATTCAAGTTTTATGGAAAAAAAGAAAGAAAAAAAGCAGCTAATATTTTTGGTTAGTCAGCAAGACTTTCCAACAATATTAGCTGCTTTTTTTCTTTTTTTTTTTTCTTAAACTTTTATATAATCATGCTTAAATACTTCATTCATTAGTTATTAAATCATTCCACAATCGTGTTTTTAAAAAACAATTAAGTTACTTTTCCTGCTTTATAGATGTTTGTAGAATATTTATAGATTTTTCTATCATGTAAACTAAGTACAAATGAGATGTGATGTAATGTGGCGTTTTAGTGGTTTTCAAAACTTCTTAAATAAGCTCCATAAGCATCATGTAAACATAATGAGAATGGTAGACATATTGACTTGAAAAACTTACTTTTTTAAAAATTTCTTTTTTGAGATAAAACTATTTTCAAGTTATGAAGTTAGAAATAGTGTAAAATTTTATAAGAAAAAAAAAAAATTGTTTTTTAATACTTCTTATTAAAAAATAACGTTTGATATAACCTGCTGTGATGTAACAACATAAGTAGGTTGCATCAAAGTTTCATTTGAAAAGTGTTGCATTATATGAAGAGTAGGTTGCTCTTTAGAATCAGATAGATTATTGAAGATAATACTTCCTGGAAGACCTTGACCACCGTGAAAACCTGGAACGCTAGGATCATTTGAATTAGTAAACAAATGATTTGTAAGAGGCATTGTTGAAACAACTTTTAAAATGGGTTGCTTTTCATTTGAAGTTGAAATACACAGCATTTGATTGTCTACAAGAACTTTTTCATTTTCTAAAGTAAAATATGTTTAACTTGTTAAACATTTTTATACAACAATATATATAATATCTAAGAATTCTACAGTTGTTCGGAAGCATATATCTAAGAGTACAAAAGCATATATAAAATCAAAAAAGTCTAAAGTTGGTAATAAAAAGTTTAAGGCCTACCCAGTAAGCACAGATCGTTTTCAAAACGTTTAAAAAACGGTAAAAACCGTTTTCATAGGTTTTTTAAACGTTTTAAAAACGTTCTGTGCTTACTGGGTAGTATCCAATTATATAACATTTTATCCTTGTCAGAGCTTTTAATGATCATCATGCTTTCATTAATACTTTTATAATAAAATAAAAGTATTAATGAAACGTAATAAACGTAATTAAAATACTTCATGTTATTTACGTTTACATTTGTTTATTTAAAAACACTTATTGTATTAGTTTTTATGTAGACACGTGATTTGGGATATAAACATTTTAACCAGTTTAAACTATACGCAGTTAAATAAAAAAGTTAAACCTAATAAAAACATCTAAAAAACGTTTTTAAAACGTACTGTGCCCACAGGGATCCAGCAATAATATTACAAACAAAGTAATATGCTATTAAAACATTTATTATTCATACTTAAAATAGACCTGTCGAAAAAAAAAAACAGCTCTCAAAACTTATAGTATTAATGCTAATATATTTATTTAATGTTTGAGTTCGCATTTTTTAATAAAAAATTAAGAAAAAGTTTGAACCTCAAGAAAACGTTTAATATCGCTTTCTCTCCCAAACAATGTCTGCAAAATAGTTTGGAAAAAACCTTTGTTTACATTAGATAGCATTGATTAGGAACCTTTTCTAATTGGAACTTTTGAGATGCCCTACTTCTCCCTATTCTTCCCTATACTTATGTAAATCAACGCTCGAGAATCCCAGATACATTATTTATTATTTTTATTTTGAATTCATCATTTAGCTTTTTTGTTTTATGCATTTTGTATGGTAAAATAACCTTACTCATTTCTAATCTAATAACTAATGTTGGAGTTTATGAGTCTTATTTTAATAAAATTTAAAGTTAAAAAAATTGTACTTATTCCAGTTGAAGAGGAGACGTCGTCAAATTGTGTGCTACTTCTTCGATTGGCTTTTCTCACTCGAATTTTTTTCCCATTAACTTCAATATTTTTCATGGCTAAAAGATTCTCAATGTTGTCACTTTCATCGAAAGTAACAAAACCGTATCCTTTGCATTCAGCAGTAATCCGATCGGTTACAATGCGAACATCTTTAACTCTTCCGAAACGGCTAAAAATATCCTCTAATACTTTCTCTGTGACCTGAACCATATATATATATATATATATATATATATATATATATATATATATATATATATATATATATATATATATATATATATATATATATATATATATATATATATGTATATATCTATACATATATATATATATATATATATATATATATATATATATATATATATATATATATATATATATATATATATATATATATATATGTAAATGGGAGAAAGTTGAAGGCTACCCGCCGTCCGGTAGCCCGGACGGCGGGTAATTTCGGACACTTGATGTACAGCTTAAACTAAAAAGCTATGTGATTTTAAATACTATAAAAACATTATCTGAGTGAAAATATGGCATATGCAAAATATCAATCATAATACGAAGCAATCGGCTGGGAGTGCAAGATATTATTTCCGACCGCCAGAAGAGCGATTTATCATCATATTTGATTCACATATTAATATACCTAAAATTTATGTAAACTAATAATTTTTTATTGAATAAAGACATTTTCATTTACAATATTTATTAAAAATAAAATTCGTTTATTACTATAATTCTCTGGCTTGAAAACTAGTATTTGTGAACGAGGTATAATCGGGTGGTAACGATCACATGTTTAAAGGGTGGTTCCGGACAGCTTAATCCGTATACATGTTAAAAATAAACAACATTTTTATATAAATAATAATAAATTTAATATAATACGCAAACCAATAATAGTAATTCAATTAATCCCAATATAAAGATCCAAGATTTGAAAAGTATCTTTAAAGTAATATTTTCATAAGTAAAAAACCAACGTTTATATTACTAAATGATAAAATTTTTATTCCCATTCCTTATATATCAGAAGCAATTTTTAAAAGACTTATTTTAAATGTGTTGAGAACATTTCAACGCTAATTAATTATTTATTATATTTATGTCATACGGGTAAAAAAGAGGTAAAGTCATGGTTAAACTATGTGTCCGGGGCAACCCTCTAATTTTGAAAAAGGCCTTTTTTCTAACATTTTTTCTTTCATGTTCTATATGTTTTTAATGTACACAATATTTTTTTTTTTTTAATTTAATAGATAAATGTTTATACTTTTAAAAAAGACTTTTGACACTTTGTTTTCTGTTAGTACATGTGTACAATCTATTTTTTTCCATGTTATAAATCTATTTAATTATTTTAATCTATTTAAAATCTACATATAAAGGAAACAGTTTTTTTATTTAATTGAATTTTCACAGAAACGTTTAAAACTTACAGTTGCTGGTACTCCACCAAGAAAGCATTTGTTTCTAACTTCTTCATTATTTTCACTAGTTATAATGCAAAATGATTCTGGGTAGGAAGCACTCTAAAAAAATTAAGTTTAGAAAGAACATAAGATTAAGCCTTATGATTTATTGGGCTCACATTTTGTGTTAAGAGGATTGGGGAAAATGGTTTTAGGACAATTTTTTTTCAAACCCACATCAGTTTTTTTACAAATCATTTTAATTTGATATAGGCACAAATATACCTATGCTTAATGTTTGTTCCATGTTTAAAAATAATATCTTAAGTTCAAAATAATGCTCTAGCGCTCCTTGCTAATAAAATATGAATTAACAACTATTAAAAAATTGATATTAAAATCAAATAATATTAAAAAAAAACTATTGAAAATTAATATTAAATATTATCAATATTAAATAACAAATATTAAAAAACAATTCTTATATAAATCTTGTACGCAATAAAAAACAATTAAAATATAAAATTTAAAACGCATTTTTTTAATTTAATTAAATTGTAGTATTTTATTTAATATAATTAATAATTTTGAAAATTTTTATTAAACTCTGATATCAAAATATTTATTTATTTATTTTACTAGGAACAGTTAACAATTCTCTAAATGAAGGTTAACTTTTTAAGTATCAATAGTGTCTTGTTTTATTTTTTACACTTAAATTGATACTTGAAAAGTTAATCTTCATTTAGAGAATTGTTAACTTTCCCTTGAAAAATAAATAAATAAAAATAATAAAAATACCTCATAACTAATTTTTTTCATTTCTTTATACTCCATCAAAGTAACTTGAAGAGAAGCTTTGGTATGTGTTTTAGACAGAGTGTTAAATATAATCGTTTTTTTTTTGACGATACAATAATTAAACGTTCAATCCCCCTGAGTTTACCCTTAATTAATTTAAAATTCATAATTTTGTCAAGTCAAAGGTTAATGCCATTTTTTATTGTCAATTCTTAATTACCAATTATATTGTTCTATTAAACTTTGAATTGAGTTACGTTTTTATAACTATAAAATAGCTGTTACTTATATGACATATACTTAATCGTTCTTATAAGAACTATGAAAGTATGACTAAGAAGAAGCAAGCATTCCGTTGTTATGTAAATATCTTTATATTAGCTTTGCCCTGATTATTAAAGTCTTATTAAAGAGAGTTTAAATACTTTAGTAAAAATTAAAAGAAGGAGCTTGTTCGCAAAATCCTTTCACCACCATCCAACTATCAAAAATGTATGATTTAAAATACGCACCCTAGTTTGCAGTTTATAGCAATATTTACTTTGTAATAATAAAAAAAATTAGCTTATTTTATTACAGTGCTAATTTTGAAGCATTTGTTCGTAATAATAAGGTATAGTAAATAAATACCTAATCTTTAAAATACACAGACAATACACCTCTTTTTACAATTCAAAATGTTTATTACTCGTTAATTGAAAATGAAACACAATAGGACACAATCAGAGGCTATCAAAAGTTTAAAGAACTATTTTTGTTTTAAACAATTTGAATGGTTTTTGTAAAACATTAGTTTGTATTAAAAAAATATTTTAATTATTTAAAGCGCTATTAACTTTTTTGGTTTAAATTTCAGCCATTTTCCAATGATTAAATTTAGCATTGTAAAACAGTAAGATAAATTAACAACGCAGCATTTACCATATTACATAATTTAAGCTATTACCAGAATTGTTAAAGTAAAAAACCCTTTCTAATTAGATAATTTGTTCGATTCTCTATAGGCGTTCAATTGGACATTGCATGAAAAGTCCAATTGGTTGCGTAAATGGTAACTGGTAAATTATTAAATTGTATGTGAGAAATAATGCAAATGGTAAGTGACAAGTAATTGCGCAACACCGAAATTTGACATCAATATATGTTTACTGAGATGTTACATTGAATTCAATTTAACTTCCCAGTAAATATATATTGATGTCTAATTTCGGTGTTACGCAATTATTTACAAATACGTGAACTAACAAGTCAAGCAATTTATCATTTTGCAAATTTAAAGAATACAGGTCTAAAATTCACAAAATCGATAACTAAAAAAAGCTAACTCAATTTATTTGTATAATATAAATACATTATATATTTATATTCTATTTTAACTTTGTCGCTTATTTATAAACGTTTTTATAATAAAATTTTTTTAATATCTGAAACTCCTAATCTATTTATTTTAAAATACACGTGAAAGGTTTATTTATTTTATTTTTTTATTTTTACATTTGTTGGTCGTAATACAATTATATATTGCCTAAAAAATAATGATAATAACAAACTTTTACAAATATAAAACAAAGTATCTAAAAGAAGATCAAAGGATCTTGTCGTCAGAACCTTAAATAAATTCAAACAAGCATTAACAAAGGTAACAACAGTATTAAATTTCTACAAATTTCCTAAGTATATATTGTATAATCCAATGAGAGATCACGCGGATCTACTCACCAATATTTTATATAAATGTATACGTACCAAAATATAATAATATGTTAAGTAAAGAATATAAAATCAACAAAATAAGTAAGAATAAACTTTTTACAATTGTAAATAAGAAAAAGGCAAAGTTATCAATTCATATTATTAATAATAAAATAATACGTCATCTAATGAAAAAATTAGAGTTTTTAATTTACTTTTAAAAAAACGAAAAGTAATGGGTAGTTCGAAGTCAAAATTCGTCAAAAAATTTAAATTCCAAAGGTGTGGTGCCCTATAGGTAATTCAAGATTGATTAAAGTTTGTTTGATAAAAAGGTTTATTTAAAAGTTCGGAATTTTTAAATGAACCTTTTTATTAGTATTTAGAGTTAACTTATTACATTTAAATCAACTCGATACATGTCTAATTAAAGTTTATTAAAGATTGACCGTTACAAACATAAGCAGAAATTGTTTTTGTTTATAGTCTTTATTAAATCTTTTTACATATCTTGTGATTTATGTCATTTGTTGGGTAAAAATATTTAATACCTTTCAATGATTTTGAACCAAATCAAAAATTAAAGCTAGGTGTTTTAAGCACACTCTATCATTGTGTTAATTTAAGCGCTCCCTATTATTGTGTTAAACAAAGGACGTTAAATAAATCTTATTTTACGTCCTTGGTTAAACTCATTGTAAAATCATTTTTTATTTTACTCAACCGTTTTGTTTAACCATTAATTTTATTATCTTATTACAAATAGCTGATCACAAATTGATCCACTAAAACTTGATTTTTGATTTTACACACCTTTAAAATTAGGTAATTTTAAAGAAAAAATAGTAATGCGGCAGTGGAGAAGTGGTTAGAGCATTGCTTTAGACATGGACATGTTTTGCGCTATGGGTAAGGAAAGATGCGTAAACTTCCTAGTAAGATGCTTATCCGCGGTGCTCTGTGACAAGATCATAAGGTCTTCTTGGGACACCTAAAACAAAAAATAAAAAAATGATAATAATATCTGGTATTTTCCTGGAAAGGGGAGTTAAGGCACATTGATACATTTTTAAATTGGAGTGAAAGAAAATTATAACAATGACATAATAGAAATAATAAAGTTGTTAAAATGGGTTCGTTATTTATTAACTAATCTTATTTGAAAGTTCTAAGATTTATTAGAAGAAATATTACAATCCATTTAAAAGAAAATGTCACTCGTGCCAAACTGCCCCTATCACGGGGTACATTGATACAAGAGGAGGGCACATTTATACATAGAAATTACTAATTAAAAAACCTACAAAATAAAAAAAATAAAAAAATGAGTACTTTTCTAATTTTTATTCATGGTCAATTTACTTTAGAATATTACATCTAAATATAGTTGCTGTTAATTCAAATTTGGAAGAGTTTGAAAAAATTGAATCCTTAGTTATTTGTTAAAAGTGTTCCCGTTTGGCTTTTTGGTGGGATTTGAGATTATTCCTAACAAATATTGAGCATTTTTAAAACCCTTTGCGCTTTTTATTTGTTATTTTTTTAAATTTGCTTTATCTTTTGATCTTTGTAGCTCTTTCAATCTTTGCTTTTCTTGGATGTGTAGATTCTTGAGTTGCGTTTGCCTTTTCCTTATTTAGATGTGATTTTTTGAAGAAATTTGGGATATGACATGACTATTATAGGCCTTATGTACAAAGTTTATAATGTTGATAGTACATATTATATGTTGATGACATAATAACTTGATATTCAACAAGAAGTATATAAAATATTACTTGTATTCTCAGGGGAATGTTGTGATTCTTGGTTGTTGTAAATCTCACAACAATCAAGCAACATTTTCAAATGAGAGTTTATTAAATGGTGTAATTGCCAGGTTTGGCAAATGCGCTCGAAATATTTTTTGCAGTAAATGGTTCAAAGAAGGAAAGTTTATCAAGGCCTGGAATATCGTCAAAGTTAACGCCTTTTTAGGATGATTAATATCAGTTGTGCATGGTTTTTCTTGCAAACGGACCTAGCCTACCTAATTCTTAATTAAGAACTTAAAAACTTATAAACTAAAATACTTCATTTAACTTATTATTCCTTTAATATATTTTATATTACTAATACAAATAATATTTGTGTATCTATACATTTATATATCAATATTTAAAAAAATAACTTTAAATTGAAAATGGCAAGCAAAAAAGACATTGAAAGTATGTTGGAAGAAAAATACAAACGGCTAGGAAATTTCTAAATATTATTTCTGGAAATGCAACGATTTAAAATAAAGAAATGGATACGATCTTGAAATCGAGTTAATTACTAAACGCTTGTCATTGGTAAAAGAAAAAAAAAAACTTTACAATAAACTGTTGAAGTCCTATAGAAAAGAGTTGAATGCAATATAAAGTCCCAGTCAACATCATTTTTTAGTAAGTTTTTAAATTTTTGTTAGCAGTTTTGATTGACTTCTTGAAGATGAGATATTATCTTGAAATAAAATTTTGCAGTTTGGTAAATCAAGAAGAAGTTACTTTCATAGGTTATTTGATCAAAGTATTTTTAAAGGTATCTTTATCACTGAGACTTAAGTTTTCAGGAAAATCTTTAATTCGCAAATTGCCCTCCATTTAAATAGTAATATTTAAAAAATTAAATGTATAGAAAAGAAATAAAGATATTCAACTCCTTCACAATCTGTTTATTATGAGTGAAATATCAAAAGGTGTAATCAAATCCTTAAGAAAAAAAAACAAAAACTATATAACAAATTCCTAAAAAATAAAATTTATGAAATGAAATTCGAAAAATTATTTAAAAAGAAAATCTTAATTGAAACCAGACATTACCAGATAAACTAAAAATTGCCCAAGACACCCTTTTATTATTTTTATTTGATACTACTAATTGTAGACCTCAGTCCTTTTCCCAATTACTGAAACGCGTCATGTGTAATAGACTTTACAGTTATTTGACATAAAACAGTTTTTTTACGGTAAACAATTTAGATTTAAAAACAACCACCTAACCATTGAGCTAACTTATATAACTATATATAGTAATGATTGTTTAAATTTAGGAATTTTTATTGATCTTTCTAGAGCTTTTGACACCGTAAATTCCGACATTCTTTTTAAAAAATCTTGAAGTTTATAGAGTAAAAAATAATAACTTGTTTTGGATCAAAGATTGTTTATCAAACAGAAAGCAATAAATTCAATATGAAACAACAAAAACTCTCTTACGCAAACTTGGGTTTGCATATGGGAGTTTTCGTTGAATGTATAAATAATTTGAAAACATCTCGTTTTATAGTTTATGTATATATATATATATATATATATATATATATATATATATATATATATATATATATATATATATATATATATATATATATATATATATATATATATATATATACCTATATTTGAATCTTATTTTAGCGAAATAAGCCATAGATACCCTACATAATTCTCATATAACAAATTTGTTATCCCAAAATTTACATTAAAGCTGAATTCATACTCAGCCCAACACCTTACAAACAAGAAATATACACAGAACAAATCAAGTTTGAATTAAAGCGTTTTTTATTATCTACGGGCTTAAATTTTTATTTTTTTTTTAGAAAAATAATGAAAACTAAACTTTATTCTTTTAGTTACTTTTATTTTTCTTCGCTCTAAATTTATTTTTCAAAAAGAATTCATACCCTAACAATTAAATCTATTGTAACGCATTTATAAACCTTATTATGAAATGTAATTTTTTCACATTTTTTGTGTTCTGATATTTAGAACACGGAGACTCAAAAGAGGATCTTACGATCCTCTTTTGAGTCTCCGTGTTCTGATATTTAATGTACAACGATACTTATACCATAATATATTGCGATAAGAACAAAAAAAAAAAAAAAAAAAAAAAAAAAAATTCAAAGAAATGCTCTACAAATACAGTTAAATTAAAAATAATCAATTAAGTTTTGATGGTAGTGTATTGTTATTAAATTTAACTGACTGTTTTTATTTAAACTAAATTTGTAGAACATGTATTTTCAACTTAAGTTATTACCTTGATTGTACAATTTAAACGATCTTAAATTTTATTTTTATACAACAAAATAACATAATAAAGTAATTTTTATTCCCGTATACATAGGAATGCAGTGTTATATAGTTTTTTGTACTAAATCATACGAGGAGTTTAATTTGTTTAATCCTCTTTCCTTAGCTCCACCCAATTTTTCCCACTTCATTACCTCTATAAATACTTCCACTCTCTACAAACTCATCTTTTTTACTATTTCATACCTCTTCCAGTTCCAAAAACCTCTTTATCCTATATTATTTACTTACCAGAACTAACAAAAGTAGTTTAATCTTCTTTTTCTAGGGTTTGACCTCAGACTTAGTTTAAAACTTAGACTCAAAGTGTTTTTGTTTTTTCAAGCTTACTCGTATATCTTTCTCGATGCATATATAAAATTTTTGATCTACTTTTGAGATACATCCCAAAATGATGTAGTATCTTTTTCATTTATAATTGTATAATTTAAATTCAACCGTTTCCTAAAGTTGCAGTAAAAGCAACTTTGTACCATTATGTTAATCAAGTTTGTGGAAAGTATTGCATGCATTAATTTCGTCAAGTCAAAAAAGCTTAGCTGAGTTAAATGGTGTCATTTTAAAAATTACAAAAATTAGCACAAAGATTTAACTCTAAATCTCTTAAAGATGCCCTTGAGAAAAAAAATATATATACGAAAATTAGTTATAAAACGAATTGTAGTGTCAATGACTGAAACATTTCTTCTTATAGCTCAAAACATGCTTTATCAAATCAATTTGAAAAAAATCTTCATCCAACACAGAGATATCGAAGGTGGTATGCGCAGATTGTTATTGGTTTGTAAAAAGCTTTTGGGATGGTCAAAAAACTAGCAGTTCAAAACTCTGAAGATGTTGATTCTACTTATGATTTGGAAATTGGTGTAAAGGATGTATTCAACCATGTAAAACATCTGATGAGAGATTCTTAACAGAAAAAAGTAAGAGTTAAAATTTTTAATCAAATAAACAATAAAACTTCGGCTAAAAAATTTTTTCAAAAAATTTATCTAGTTTGATACAGAGGGGGGGTCAAAGAGAGTATTTTGGTAAGAAAAGAATGAGTTTACATGAGGGTATATTCTTCATAAAAATAACTGGAAAGTTATTCAAGTGTGTTTACCTTCGGTGAATAGATCAGGCAATAGATATTGTTGTTTCTTGTATTTAAATTTGTCTTGAATAGAAAGTGATTAATTGGGTTGCTGTTGTTTACGAAAAAGAATGGAGTATAAGAATATATTGTGGAGGTAATATTATTTAAAGAATATATTAGTTTTCAAGTTTTTGTTTTGTGTTTACAAAACAGTGCTCTAAAAAAAAATGTAAATATAAATAAAATGTAAGAAACACAAATTATAAATTCTAGATTATACTGTTTTAAAAATCTTTTTCTTATCAATCATTATGGCGATTATTTTTTATCCGAAGAAACTATAATACAGTCATATTACTATTCATAAAGAAACTTACTGCAGTAAAATATTTGTGTGATGTGGTGTATAACACAGTCATATTACTACTCTTAGAGAAACTTACTGCAGCATAATAAAATGTGTGATGTGGTAGATTATTTCTTTTAGGACTCTATTTCTCAATGAAATAATTTTTAAATGGAAAAACATTTGATTTATGTTTTATTTAATTAGCTTTCTCGCTGTTTGGATTTTGTTCAATTTTTAATTCATGTTATATCATGCTTGCGAAAAAATCACACAAGTTTTTTAAATTATTATGTTAGAACCAATTTGTATTGGCATTTTTGACATGCTTATATTTTTATTAAAGTTAGTACCTCTGCCGTAAAGGAGGATTTTGTAAGAATAATATAACATTTTTCAGTTTCAAATCTTTATATGTGGATGACCATAGGTATCACATAAATTTCTTTGCATTTTAAGACTCGATATCTAACTTTTAAATCTTGCAAAAAAAGAGAATATATATTCTGAGCATTATCACTGTTGTAAAAAAATAAAATATTGCTTGACTTCATGACCCAGAAAAATCCTTTGGGGGTATTACTGTACTATCTTTGGTGGTTACTGGGATATAAGTCCCTAAATCTGGTTACACTGTCCGTAGAAAAAAATCTATTTTCAAAATGTTATAAAATTGCATTAATAAACTGCAATATATTTAACTCTAGAGCAATAAAACTTAATTTGTTATAACTTTTAAATAGGTTGTTTTAGTAAGAAAATAAAAAAAAATTGATTGCATTTTTTTAGTTTAAAAAAGAATTAAAGAGTTATCTGTGCCAAAAAAATTTAAAAAAATCAAAATTGTTTTTTTATAAATTATTATGATAAAATTCTGTGAAAAAACTTGAGGATTAGTTGTTCAATCCATTTCTTTCATAGATTCGGCATCTGAATTAACAACAACAACAACAAAAAAATCAAATCAAGCAAAAAAAGCACAAGGAGAATAGGTAAATTGTTTGCTTTTTGTGTCTTGGCTAGTCACTTTTTAACCAGCTTTATGACAAAAAAAAAGTAAGTGCAACAAAAGTGCAACAAAATCTGAAAGCAAGAATACTTTTCAATAAAGGACCAGAGCATACAGAAAAAAATTTTGGGCTCTTCAATTCTGGTGCAAAAAAGCTGGTGTCAACACTAAATCAAGTTGTTCCAAGTCGGATTGTTGAAAACAACTTTCAAGCTTCATCAGTTGTTTTGCGAGTTTTGCGACATCGGTTGGGAAGGAGGCGTGAACTTCCTATTAAATGCTCTTCCGCGGTGCTCTGTGATAAGACCGTAAGGACTTCTTGGGGCACCTAAAATCAACATTAAAAAAAAAAAAAAGTTGAGCAAATAACTTAAAAGTCAGTTCAACACTTGGATGAAATTTGCAACTGACAAAGACACAAATCAAGTAGATAAACTTGTTATTCTTTTCAAATACTTGAAAGTTCTTTGTCAGCATGTACTTGAAACTATAAACCTCTCATGCCTCTTAATATAAGGCATGACATATAAAAACTTTTTTTCAAATTTTATAAGAATTGTAGAGAAGTGATCTAATTAATGCTGATTACAAACAACATGATCATCTTTTTGTCCTACAATATCATTAAAAGAATAAGAGTCCCAACTATTTGTTACAAATTTGTCATAACTACTATTTATTACAATTTGTAGGACAAAAAGATGATCATGTTGTTTGTAATCAGCATTTATTAGATCACTTCTCTCCAATTCTTGATAACTCCAAATATAAAAACGATTCTGAGTTTAATATGCTGTATTTAAATTCAATAGATAGAGAAAAGTTGACTAAAAATAGTAGTTATGACGAATTTGTAACAAATAGTTGGGAAATGTTTATGAAGCAGGATACAATTAAATCCATTGATGTAGAGTCATTGTCGAATGATAGCAGTGAGGAAAACGAACCTGATATTGAAAATGAAAAAAGAGAGCTATCATTTGATTTGGGAATGTGGGCAGCATCATTTTCTATTCCTATGGTTGCAGTATCTTCACTTTTGGATATACGAAGAGTATTGCACCCATCACTTCCAAAAGATCCGCGAATGTTACAAAAACACGTAGAGCAAGAAATGTCAAAACAATTGAAGGGGGCTCCTATTATCACTTTGGTGTTGTTAATTTATTGCAACACATAATTCATTTGCCTTATTTTTGTACAAGTCTTTGCTTTGAAACTCTATCACTTTCTCTACAAATTAATATTGATGGATTACCTTTACAGAAGTCAAGTACTCAACAATTTTGGCCGATTCTAGCAAGAGTATCAATTCCATTTTCAAGTAATCCATTTTTGATTGGCTTGTTTTGCAGTCAAAGTAAATCAGTTAACTTGAATGAATATTTAAAAGATTTCATTGAAGAAATGTTAGAATTGGAAAAAGGTCCTATTAAAATTGATGTAGATGGTACAAAATACTCAATAAACATTGGTATATCCTGCTTTGTATGTGGTATTCCTGCAAGGGCATATAAAAAACAAACTAAAGGACATAGTGGATATTACAGTTATAATAAGTGTATCCAAAAAGGGTAATGGCACAGTGTTACATTTCTTAAAACTGATGCTCCACTTAGAACTGATCATTCTTTTAATGAAATGACAGATGCTAATCATCACATTGGAGATACTCCAATGTGATGATTAGCATCTGTCATTTCATTAAAAGAATGATCAATTACTTAAAAAATGGTCTATTGGAATGGTAACTCAGTTTTCACTTGATTTTATGCACCTAGTGTGTCTAGGAGTAATGAAAAGGATTTTGATGTTTTTAATAAAAAGCCCTGTTAGCGTTGGAAAGCAGTGAAATTCAGTCAATTTTTATTATACAATGGCATTGTTGCATTAAAAGGACATCTTTCGAAATCTGTATACAACAATTTTCTTTTTTTTTTTGTTGGGATACATTGTTTAGCCAGTTCAGATCTTTATCAAAGTCATGCTGATTATGCGGAATCTATCTTACGCGCCTTTGTAAAAAATGCTATAAAAATCTATGGCAGAGGTTTTATTAGCTACAATTTACACAGCCTAATACACACTGCAAGTGATGTAAAAAGATTTGGATCTGTTTATAATTACTCTGCATTTCCGTTTGAAAATTTTCTAGGGCATTTAATTTAATACGTAAACCTTATTTACCACTTCAACAGATTATCCGACGTATATCTGAAAGAAATGGATCAATTATAAGAAACTCTGATAAATGTATGAAGGAAGGCATTCCCAGAAAGCTGCTTGAAAATGGTCCTATTGTTTTAAGAGCACAAACAGTGTCTACAGTATCAAGAAATTACTTTAAATGTAATTTTTTACTCTATTTCAAAAGGAAACAATTGCATAAAAATAAAAAATGACTTTTTTTTTAATTTGTAACATTAAAATTTCATGGTGATAATAGTCATTTTAATGTTTACGAAAAATTTCTTACTATTGAACATTTCTTTAGATATCCTGCAAATTCTTTCGAATGTTTTGGTATAGTAAAGATCTCTAAGTTATCATGTCAGTATGAATCTGCCACAACAGATGAAATACAGAAAAAATATGTTATACTACCATGCAAGTCCAAATTTGTTTGTATTCCTCTGTCTATGAAGCCTCAAATACATAAACAATAAACTGGAATTTTTTGCCAGAGCGCTAAATTTTTGTATTAGCGCTCATTTGCATATCAGTATTAGTATTTGTATTACGGATTTTTATGTTTATCTTTTTATTTCAGTTAGTAATATAATATTTAGTTGAATTTGAGGATAAAGTGGCGGTGGTTCCTGATTGCTGGTTTTTACAAGAATCAGCTACATGTTATTGGCCTCAGGGAATTGGTGCTACACAATAGTCAAAAATGAAAAAGTTATTAATTCCTAAATATAAATATTGGCCTCTTTATTCTTATATAAGAATATTGAAAGTTGGAGGTATGTAATTTCTATATGGTTTTGGAAAGTTTTGATTATATGATTGTTTCTGCAAATTATAATTTTCCAGACTATGAAAAAGTGAAAAAGAGGCTAAATCTTTGCACTACACAAATTTTTCTTCAAGTTGTTCGGAAATAAAACATGATTTAAAGAGGAAAAATTTGCAAATACAATTAAATAGCATTTTTCTGGAAAATACTGAATGTCGATCAAATGCAATAAGTCTAATATTATCATTATATAATATAAAGAATATAAAAGTTTACCTTTATTTTTTAAATTAAATTAGTATATTTTTTTCTATTTCGAATTGACTTCATATATAATAACATTTATACTTTAGTATAAACTCATTTTCGTATGCAATAGCAAATAGAAAATGTTTATTTCTTTATAGGTTATTTTTTTGTCTCTAATTGAAGGAAATGGTCTTGATGACTGTATGAGAAAAGTCGCTAAGAAAATCTTGACAGAAAAACTCTTAATGCTTTACAACTTTACAGGAAGAAAAGGGTAAATTAGAGTTTGGTTGTCTAGTTGGGGTGAAAAATGTGATGTATGGTAGATGTGTGATGTATGGTAGATGTGTGATATATGGTAGGAAAACTTATAAATAAAATTACTCTCATTGTTATTTATTCTAAAACTTTCATTCTCATCATCGTCGTCATCATCATCACTATCATCATTATAAGCATCATAAATATTCTATAATAAATTTTTATAAATATACATTTGTATTATATAACAAAATCATTATGATAATTATAATGTAGTAATGAAAGATGTAAATCCCATTTGTTTTACAACACAATAAAAATTTTATTTTTGTTTGTATATACTTCTTTACTTTATTTTTACAGTTTACCATGTTTTGTCAACTCGTTTTACGGTTGTTTTTTTTTTTTTATTTTTTTTTTTAATAATTTAAATTTAACACTTGTTTATGGTTGATTTTCTTAAAGGGATTTAAATGTACTTATAACTAACTAAACGCATAGATTGGGTTTTCCCCTTTTAAAAAAAACGTTTGCACTAACTGGTTTTGATAAAATAAATGTTGTAAAGAAACGAAATTTACTGCTTTTTCGGCTTTGTTTTTTTTTTTTTATTTCCATTAAAATATTTTATTTCTATGTACATTAAAACCTAATATTTTTTTACTCAATCCAAAAAAAAAAAATAGTGTTTTCGGTTTTAAGATGTTATAAGCAGAATTTGTTTTCAACAAATATCATTATAATTTGAAATTTATGTATCTTATATTTATAGCTCAAGTACTAGTTTTGTTTTTAAAATAAAATAAAGATAAGTTGGGCTTTTAAAGAGTTTATTTACTGATCGCGTTATTTTTAATAGGTTTGAATTTTGGTTTGTTCAAGGACGTATTAATACGTCCTTGGTTTGTTTTATAAAAAAAAATTCTTCGGTTAACGGCAAAGGGAAAACCCAAACATAACATTTATAACTCGAGTTTAAAAGTATTGACGTCATTTATTAACTTGTAGTTATAAATAGGGATGTACCGAAGCTTCGGCTTCGGCTTCGGCATGCCGAAGCTTCGGCAATTTTGCCGAAGCTTCGCTTCGGCCGAAGCCAGATCAAATTTTTGCCGAATCTTTGGCTTCGGCAAAAAATTTTAAGTAATTAAAGTTATAAGCTACTGTTGTACAAGTTATAAAAATATGCTAATTGCCAGTGTCTAATTAAGTTGTAAATTCAGGACTACAGAGTTAAAGTTGGAGTCTATACCATATACTTAGTATTATTTACGCCCAAATGTCTTGTTATGGAGGGGATGATAATAAATAGGTAGAAATATTTTGAATATAATAGTAAAATTAAGGAAGGTCTTCATACACTTTGAAGGCTTCCAAGTGTGACTTAGATGAACTGAATCAGCATTTTTATGCAGAATAAAAACCTTATAATTTAAAACAAATTAAAACTTTTTAAAAATAAAATGGAAAAAAAAACCTTAATTTGTATTATGTAACGAATTTATATTAATTTTTGTGTGGGATTACCGCAAATAGAAAAAAAATTGGCTTCAACATTTGACCTATAAACCTTAGCAATCTCACTTTAAAGAAGATTAAAGATACGTTGCTACTATTTTAAATTCTGTGTATGTTAATCATAATAATAAAAATTTACAAATTTTCATCGTAAGATTACAGAAATTGGTAAGGTGTCACTTATATAGTTACAAACTAGTCAATGGAGTGACACATAAAAAACATAAAGTTCTCAACAACAAAAAAGGAAGAAATGCAAATGAAATATAAATGAGGAGAATAAAAAAAGAAAAAAAAAGTCAACCAAAACTATATAAATTAAAAGAAAAAGAAAAACAATGATAATAACTATCCTTGCTCTTTTATTAATATTATGAATACTTCTAAATTGAATTTATATATTAAACATATAAACTTATATTCTGGTTTCTTCTTATGATATGAAGACTTTTAAATTTTATTTAAAATAAATTAAAGATTAAAGCTTTGATTACTTTGAGCTCTTATATTTATCATCAAAATTTATTTAAATTAAATAAACAATTTAAATCAAATAAATATCAGCCTGCTCAGTCCCTGTTTATTTATAAATATAAAGTAAATAATAATATAATTATAAATAAAATATTTATAAAGTATTCTATTTATTATTTTATTTAAAGCTCACTCTACTGAGTTGTTAGATTACATAGAAGTTTTTGTTACAGATAGTTAATATTTGATTTCAGATACTGATGCAAATTTATTCATTACAGAGACAGAAGAAGAATGAATACTATAATTTCAGAGTGTAAAAGATTAAAAGAAGCTTAAGAAAATGTTATTTAGTGTAAAATTAAAAATAATAAAAAAAAACAGCAACAACTTAAAAGTGTGTAAAAAAGAAGTTAGAGAGAAATCTATCAATTGTACTTTTTTTTAGCAGCCGGTTCACAACAGTTGTAGTGGAATACAAAATGGTCTTAACTTAGGGTTTTTTTTAGTTTAGAAATTGTTCGTTTAATGAATACAGAGAAGTAAAAAAAAGATCTTGAAATAAATAGCAATAAAAAGATAAAGTGTGTTTGTAAGATTTTTTATGTTGTAGATACAACTAGATCAGCTAAGAGTGTTTATTTAGAGAAAGAATGTTCAAGTGTAAAAGATTAATTTACTTGAGTAATATTCAGAGATTTTTATCCACTCTTAACAAAAGGTGCATTAAAATAAAAATAAAATATACAGCACATGAAAAGATGCGTAACAGTAATTTATGGGGAATAAAATTTGAGGATGTTCAGCTAGCACACTATAATTAGATAGAGCAAACAAGATGATTAAATAGAGGATTAAAAATTAGATGATTAGATAGAGGATTAAAGAGAAACGATGTTTACATAGAAGAACAGTATGGCTATAAAAGATCAAAAAAATAGCAATAATCTTAAAAGAATATTGGGAATAGTTGGAAATATATGTGAGTTACTGATATTGTGCACTATATAACATTAATATGGTTTGCACACAGAAAAAGTAGAATTAGAAGTAGGAAAATTTGGGGAGAATATTTTAAAAAAGCTTAAGTTAAAAAAAAAAACACTAGGTGCGGTGAAGTATCAGAAACGACATAATGAGAAACTTTCAAACAGGGGCGCTGAGAGCTTTTGCCCTGCCTGGGGCAACCCTGACTTGTGTCCTCATTTTTATACATTTTTTCTATATTATTAGTCAAGGATCTTAGTTTCGGAACCTTTTTTGTTTTACACTCCTGCTGATCTGAATGCTGATTAAATTTTAAGCATATATAGTGCCGAAGCTTCGGAAAGGAAAAAATAATCACGTGAGCATGCGTATTTTTTCTTTGGACATATTAAAACTTATACTACGCATGCCCACGTGATTATTTTTCCCGTCCCTTTCCCGTTCCCGTGAAAAAACGGATGAGTGGAAACTCGCCTTAAAATAATGGAAAAATAAAAACTGGAAAATAATGCGCTTTTGTTAAGCGCATTATTCAGACCAGTATTTGGAACTTACCTGAAACTTAAACTAAAATCAAAATAAAGTTATATGTAATACGAACATTTTAAAGTAACTTGAATTAAATTTTTAAATCTTTTTTTACTTTGGTAATTTTATCATAAAAAAAAACGGAGCATTTTAAAATTAAAAAACTTTTTATTGCTCTGTTTTAAAATTAAATGAAAGAATTTTAATTAAATTTATTTACTAAAAACTATAATTATTAAAAAAATATTTAAATTTAATAAAATAAATTGAAAATATTTCTTTTTTTAAATTTGATTGTTTATAAACTTATGAAATCTAATATTTAAAATTAAATATGATGAAAAGTTTAAACTTAAAACTCTTTATTTTCTTTAAGTAATTTTTAAAAACACAAAAAAAAATTATTAAACAAAATGTTTCTTTAACAAAAAATCGATTAGTTTACAATTGCGGTTAAATGCTTTTACTTACGACTTTAATACTTTTGAATGAATGTCACATAAACGATATAAAAAGATAATTTAAATATTCTTAAGGTGAGTTTCCACACATCCGTTTTTCTACGGGAAAGGGAAAAATAATCACGAGAGCATGCGCAGTTTTCTTTCGGACAAATAAAAACTCTTATTACGCATGCTCACGTGATTTATTTTTTTCGTTCCCGTTGAAAAACGGATGATCTTATCTTAAAAGATAAAAATTTATGCGTAACGCATAACTGCTGAGCTGCGTAACGCTTCTTAACAAGGCCTGACTACATCTATATGTCTAATTGTACTTCCATTTCACAAAAGGTTTGGTAAACCAGAGCTGAAAGCTGATGTTAATGAGCAGTGGCAGAAACAAGCCTGAATCGGACAAACCATTAATGCACCTCTCTCAAATGCCTTGACTTATCCACTCCAAGAGATATATGATCTTCTGGAAATCAACCCAATTGCAAGATTCTGAGTAGTGATCAAGAATAGTAAGCTATATTTTTTAAGTTGTGTTTTTTTATATCTCTTTTTTAACAAATTGTTTAATATTTTTTCTATATAATCTGTTATACAATTGTAGAAATAATAATTATATATTTTCTTGCTAACATACATCAATAAAATAAAATAAATGCAGAGTTATTGTTGTTAATCAGAGTATTAAACTTTTCCTTCTGTGTAGTCAATTTTTCATGTGCTGACAATTAAATTAAGTGACTTTTCCTTGCCTTTAGAGGCAGGAAAAGGGTTAGACCTTTTGTATGAGGAATTTTTTTTGGTAAATTATTGTGTAAAATTGGTATCGTTAAAAATATTGTAGAACTGAATATCCAAACAAAATAGAGTCCAGATCTCAAAATTAGGATACAGGTACCCAGGTAATTGGATCCAGATCTTGTATCCAACTATGTCCTACACATTAGGGTTTTACTCTGGTTTTAAAATTAAAGTGTCATATTTCTAAACATCTCAGATGTCCTTTCACTTTAAACTAAAAGTTACAATGACACTCTCATTTTAACACCAGATTAAAACCCTAATGTATACACAGGTGATCTGTGTGATGGTGAATTAAAGTTTTATTTTGATAGATAGATTTTTATTTTTTCTAATTTCTGTTTATCTCTGATTACTATTGATATTTGTTTATGCAGGTGCAGTAAGAAAACTATTCCTAAGCGACAATTAGTCAACCGGACAAGATGCTGCCAAAATGGCTATCAAGTTCAAATGACATAGATGGTCTCGAAAAAATCGCTAGGAGAGGCGTAGAGGAAAGTTCTTTAGAAGACATTTAACTTTTATATTAAATGTAATGAAGTGTTTTTTATAATGTGTTTATTTTCTTTTTTACATTGTTATTTTATTGGATATTGGTTGAGAATATTTATCGAATAAATTTCTTTTATATGACTTATGTTTTTTGAATTTTATTTCAAACAAATCGACATTCCTTTTATTTTAAAAAGATTATTTTGAAAAGAAAATCAGTGTAATATTCTATGTATTACAAGTTTGTTAGCATGGAAATGACGATTCTAAGCTCTTATTGCCAAAAAAAAAGTGTGAATATATAAAGTGCCAAGAATAGCCAATATTAGACTTGTATTGGCCAATATTGGGCTTGAATTAGCCAATATTGGGCTTGAATTGCCCAACGTTGGGCCAGTATTAACCTACATCGCCCCATTAATGGTCAATGTTGGGCCATGATAAGCCAATCAAAACCAATAATGACCCAATATTGGAGCCATGATTTATCCAGCAATCGGCCAATCTTTGCCCAATAAAGGCCCAATTTGCGCTCCACAATATTTGCCCAATGTTTGCGGCCAATATTTGCCCAATATAGTAGCCAATAATTGCCCAATCATGGCCCAAGGAATTTGTGCTATCTGGGTAGTTACTGATTGCCAATTCTGATAATTTTTGGGTAAACTACAGCAATGTCAAGCAAGTTTTTGATCTGCTGAACCTTGACAAAATTCCCTTCGTTTTTTCCTGTGACATGAAGCTGGTAAATATCATATGTGGTCTACAAGCACATTCTAGTGCAAACTCATGCTCTTGGTGTGACATTTCATCAAAGATCTTGCAAAGTGTGAAAAAAAGAACGTTTGAATCAATCAGTAGAGATTATCAGGCATTCAACGTGGCTGGTGCTAACATCAAAAAAGCAAGTTAATTCAGAAACTCTGTTTATGCACCCATCATCTATACTTCAGATGAATTCTTTGTCATTGATGAGCTCCACCCATGGAGCTTCATCTGTTGCTTGGTGTTGTAAATCATCTTCTTCAGTCTCTCAAAGATTTGAACGCATGCTCCTGGATGGCTGGCATTACACCATATTCAACAGCATAAATGCAAACTGACATTAGTGTGCCAAAAGATTTTCTTTACATTGGCATTAGTAGGAACTGGCATATGTGCGAATTGGTAATTTTATTCGGTGCACTTATGCCAGTTCATACTTATGCAGTTTTTGTAACTGCTTTATACTTATGCCTATTCACTTTTATGCCAAAGTTTGCAATTTCTTTTGACGCACTTTGCGCATATGCCAGTTTGCACCTATACCAGTTTATACTACGCTTCGCATTTATGCCAGTTCGCACTTATTCAGCCTTCCAGAAAATTCAACGATGTCTTCCATGCTTATTTTGGCAATTTCCTTAATGAAAGCTATGTTGAAAAAATATAGCGATTTGTAGTTTCCTATTTACAACTTCAGGACGCCACCAACACTTCAAAGGTTCATGATGTCACCCACTATGTTCCTCAATTCATCCAACGCCACAATAGCTTTTTGGGAATTTATTCAAAGCAATGACTGAATCAAAACTGAAGCACTCCATCATCCTTTTAGTGCTCATTGGCAAAGGTACAAGAGACCAAGCAACCACCCAGAGTATAAAGACAGGCTGCAAATATACATCACAGACTTCAACAGCAAAAAAATTAATTAGGAATATTTCAAATCAGTTTAGACATTTTTCTCAAGAAAAAACAACTTTTAACTGAAACTTTGTCAAAATTGAAAAAAATTGTTATTTACCAGTGAAATTACTGCATAAATATTTTTGTTACGTTTTTGCGATGAATAAAAATTCTTGAAACCAACTTTGTTAGTTGCTTATAAACTATGTATTTAATGCGATTTTATGCAAAATTTGAAAATGAATTTTCTTCCACGGACAGTGTAACCAGATTTAGGGATTTAAATCCAAGTAACCACCAATGATAGTACAATAATACCCCCAAAGGATTTTTCTGGGTCATGACATCAAGCAATAATTCGATTTTTTTTAAAACAGTGACATAAGTTTAAACAGTTCGGAGGGGATCACTTACGCAGTTTCAGCTTGATCTCGACAATTGTTTATATTTATATCCAAACATCGTGCTTCTAATTTGCCGGGATGCCAAATATGTTTTCATTAGAAGTTTTCACCAATTAAATTCATCAATGTAATAGTTTTGTAATAAAATGTGATTAGGATTTTCAGTATTCACGTTTTGGTTACAATCAAACAGCTGTTTTAATATTTGATTGTCACATTGTTTATATAGGTTTCATTACATTGATTATTACCCGTTTTATGCTTTGTGAAAAGACCTTTTAAAAATTATGTTACGTGATTATAGAATTTAAAAAAAAAAGAAAAGTGAGCACGTGTTGAATTAAAGTTAAAAAACTAACCATTAATACAAATACCAATATTTTATGTCGTATAAATCTAGCAAATACATTTAATACTTAACATTATATATATATATATATATATATATATATATATATATATATATATATATATATATATATATATATATATATATATATATATATATATATATATATATATACATATATATATATATATATATATATATATATATGTATATATATATATATATATATATATATATATATATATATATATATAAATATATATATATATAAATATATATATATATATATATATATATATATATATATATATATATATATATTATATATATAGTGTAGATATTATATAATATGCACATATAGTCATAATATGTATATATGTATACTATATAGTAAATATAATATATAGATAAAGCTTCAGTTAAGCGACCTAAGATAATTTTATTTTTTTGCTTGTTGCGCTCATGTCAGTGGAGACTTTTTAAACATAAGGAATATTTATTGGAATAATAAAAGAAATAATATTGCTGCCCCATGCCACCCCTTAGTTGATGTAGCACCAATTCCTACAGTTTATTTTAGAAAGAGTTATATAATGATATTTGAATGTTATATAGAAGATGCCAGAGAATAATTAATTTAGAGATCTGGAATAAAAGATTATGAAGTTTTTACAATCTGCATCAACATGAAAACATTTTTTAATATAAAATTTAAAAAGAAGCACAACTACTGTTCTGACTTAATGGATAAGTATAAATAAAAAAGAAAAGCAATCAAAAGAATTATTTTTAACAGAGGTGCGGAGTCCCAAAAAGGACTCCCAATTTGAAAGTCACAAAAAGATTACTTCTTTCTAGTTTATGGTATCCAGAAGCTTTGAAAATATAAAAAAAGTATATAGGCTACTAATGGGGAAAAAATCAAGACTCAGGTTAAAAGAACAATCAATTTTTGAATTAACCTTAGGACTCCATAACTCCAGACTTAAAGATAAGTTCCAAGTCATTAAATATCATAAATTTTTTTCTTATAGCAGATCATTAATCAACCAACATGTTTAGAGCTTCTGGACATCAGAGACCATAAAAAAAAATAAAGGTATAAAGCTGGAATCTTTTTGGGACTCTGCATCCCTGATTTTTGTAAAATCTGTTTTCAGCAAAATCAAAATTTATATGTTTATAAAAGTTACAAAATAAGTTTAGTTAAGGATATTGAAATAAGAATAAATAGTTTTCATCATTCTATTTTTTATTTCAGGTGGTCATGTAACACTAGATTTTTTCCTATTATGGTAAATTCACCTTCCTAATGCCAAGAAGGCCACTACAGTCAAGGAGGCTACTATAATTATGGTTACAATCCCCTCTACCTTGGCAAACAAGGCTGCTGTGCAGAGACACAAGTTGAAATATGGAAAAACAATTAATAAAACAGTTTACAAATATCGTTTCTCGATATCAAATATGTTGGAGCTGCATGAATGCTGTAACTAGTAAATTCAGTAAGAAAGATCAGTCAAATTTTCAAAAAAAAACAAACAAACAGAATTTGTTAATTGAAAAAGACTTCTCAAGTGTAACTTATGAAAAGTTCAGTCACAAGAATAGCCCCTAATATATATATATATATATATATATATATATATATATATATATATATATATATATATATATATATATATATATATATATATATATATATATATATATATATATATATATATATATATATATGTATATATATATATACTGGGTCTATTCTAGGAAAAATATTTGGGTGCAGTACCCTTCAAACCCAGAGAATATATATTCTCTGGGTTTGAAGGTGTTCATTATAAAAACCATTAAAATTTTACAATATTTGTCTCTATATTTAAGGAACTCAACCTAATAATCAAACTAAGATTTATACATTAAAAGTCAGTGAATCTGCTTAAATGTGATGCGTTTCATTGGATTGGTATGATAAATGAAATTAACAATACTGAGCAAAATGGCGCAGTAAATATTATGGACCCAAACATTTCATCTAGAGCAGATAAATGTTAGATTCCAATTACAAACATAATATGCACTAATATCTACTAAAAATCAAATAGTCATATTTCAGGAACTTTTTGGAGTTAGAGGCTGAAATTTTCACCGATTTTTTATTTTAACAATTACTTTTAATTGTGTAAAAAACAAAAAATTTATGACATGGTGGCTTTTTTTAGTTTTTTGGATGGAAAAACTTTTAAAGCAATAAATTAAATAATTTATAAGTAAAGATAAGACTATTGAAAAATTTTTGCTACAGTCTTATCTTAATTTATTTGTATTAAGTGAAATGATATTAAAGCTGATTATTTGGTATATTTTAAGAACTAACCTTTATGTATTTTCACCTTTAAAAAGTTGAATAATACAGTGAAACCAATTTTTTTGAGTATCAAAAGTTAGAATAACTAGCTATAAATAGTTATAATAGTTATATATAGTTAAATAACTATATATAACTATTATAAACTAACAATATATTATAAACTATATATAGTTATAATAACTAGTTAAATAACTGTTATATTATATACTTATATTATATGCTAAATTTTCTTCAGAAAATTTTTTAAAATCAGAATACTTTGAGAAATAAGTTTAAATAAATATACTTTTAAATATTTGCATCTATATCTGTACCTGTTCTAGATATTGTTATTTTATGTTTTATGAATTATTTATAGTTTTTATGATTCTTTAAAAATGATTTAGGTATTTTAAAAAAAAAGATTAGTAAAATGGCATGTATCCAGGTACTGAAAAGAGTTGCTGGAATAACAAATAATAGGAGAATGGCTTCTTTGACAAATATGTTCAATTCCTTTTCAAACTATAAACCGTATTCTACTGAAACAACTGCCAATAAAGAAGAAATTAAAAATGAAGAGGATGAAGAAGGGAAAAGCTTAAAAAAGACCCTTTCAGAAAAAGAAATTCTTCTATCAGCTGCACAAAAAGATTTAGCTGAGTTTAAAGATAAATATATTCGTTCATTAGCAGAATGCGAAAATGTACGACGTCGTGGTGTTAAAATGGTATCTGATGCAAAGCTTTTTGCAGTTCAGGGCTTTTCCAAAGACTTACTTGAAGTAGCTGATATTCTTGAAAAAGCCATGCTAAGTGTTCCTATAGACGAGCTTCAGAAAAACGAACTATTAAAAAATCTTTATGATGGATTAGTTATGACAGAAGCTCATCTTCAAAAAGTGTTTTTAAAACATGGCCTTCAGAAAGTTAATCCTATTAATGAAAAGTTTGACCCAAATTTTCATGAAGCTTTATTTCAGAAATCAATTCCTGGAAAAGCTTCAGGAACTGTTGTTGAAGTAAATAAACCAGGTTATTTACTCAATGGTCGACCTGTTAGGGCTGCCCTTGTGGGTGTTGCTCAATAATGTATTTCTTTTTGATGCAATATATATTTAATACAGTTAGAATATAATTTTTTTAAAAAGTGATTTAGTGTTTTTTCTCTTTAATTTTAAGACTCACACTCAATATTTTTTAATTTATTATTTTGTATGACTTACAACTAATAAATAAGTTTATAGTTAACCATCAGGGGTTTGATTTTAACTGGGACTGGATTTATAAAATTTTTGGAAAGATTGAGGTGGGATGAAAATTTTTTAAATTTAAATTATAATCATCACTATGGTTTTTATTTTATTTTTTCTGCACTTGTGTGAGTTGTACAATTTCCTTTTTTATTTATAATACAACATTGCATATTTTTAATTATACAAACTCGCTCCTATTTTCAGTTAGAAAGTTTTCCCAGGTTTTTGTACATCTGACTAGATTTTTATATATTTTTTTACACTCAACATGTACAAACCACCTCTACACCTCTGATGCTTCTTCTGCCTTATCTCTTGATCAAATTCGAAAATTTATTCTCTTTTTTGTTTGTACTTTATTTTTGTACTTTTTTTAGAAATCATAAGATTGATAATGATTTATCTATATTTTTCAATTTTTTTTCAAAATTATAATTAGTCTGATATGGGACTATTATTTGAAGAAGAGTTCCAGCATCAAATCAATGCGTTTATAAGTGATAGAAGACAAAATAAAGTTGTAGGCTCATTTGACATAGCTATTCAGACTGTTTTACTACTTCGTAAACTTGTTGGTGGTACAAAATGGAGCGATGAAAAAGAATTAATTGAGTCTATTAAAAGTGTTGCAACACAGATAACAGATGATACTCTGGAAATATCTTCTGGAAATATGATCAGAAGAATTTTAAAATTGGTCAGGGAAGAATATGATGAGTTAGCAGGAAAGAAGTCTGATGGTAAGGAAAGTATATTTTGTTTTATTACTTATAATTCATTTTTTTTAATTATCATTTTAGTGTATATTGTTTTTATAATGTGTTTCCCTAATAGCTAAGTGAAATGTGTAAGTATAAAACCAAATCTAATTTTCTTTAAATGGGGATATAAATACAATTTTAAAATTCATACATTGAAAAGTTTGAACAAATTAATATATAAGCATTTTTACACGATTTATACAGTTTTATAAAAGTACTTTCATTGTAAAATCATTTTTATTTGTGTAATACTATTGTAAAACAATTTTACAATGTTTTAGCAAATACTTGGCACAAAAATGTGCTGACTTCATTCAAGATTTAAAACTCAACCATCATGATTGCTCAATAAAATTCATGTTTATGATCATTTCATATATAAAAAAGATGCTACAAAAAATGAAATAAAGTGTAATTTAATTTAAATATAATTTAAGAAAAACATTTAAGAAAATTAAAAATTAATTTATGCAGTTTTATAAAAGTACTTTCATTGTAAAATCATTTTTATTTGTGTAATACTATTGTAAAACAATTTTACAATGTTTTAGCAAATACTTGGCATAAAAATGTGCTGACTTCATTCAAGATTTAAAACTCAACCATCATTATGATTGATCAATAAAATTCATGTTTATGATCATTTCATATATAAAAAAGATGCTACAAAAAATGAAATAAAGTGTAATTTAATTTAAATATAATTTAAGAAAAACATTTAAGAAAATTAAAAATTAAATTTAAAAAAATTTAAAAAAAATATAATTTAAGAAAAAAATTTAACTTTGATATTTTTTGTAGTATTTATTTTCCAAGTTTCTAACTTTAAATATTGTTTATTTTAAATGTTAAAACAAAAAATAGTGTTAATCTCGGTACACAGTATTTTTATATAATTTCAGAAATATAGCAAAATAAGTTTATTTTGACAAAAGTTTTGATTTTAACTTTTTGATTTATTTACAAAGCGTGTTTAGGACAGAACTAGCATTATTGGCAGAGTTGAAAAAATGGTTATTTTTAATGCCAAAAAGTTTTACACATACTTAAACAAATTTTTATAGATACTTTGCCACATAAAAATGTGGTTTCAGTCAAGTAGACACCTCCAATATATAAAAATGCATGTAAATAATAAAGTCCAAAAAGCTAATTAGATAAATAAAATATATGTTTCGAATAAAATGATATATAAGACATAGCTTTTATTTTGCATACTTGAAAAATTAAACTAAAAATTAAAAAATATTATCAAATGTGGCATTGTAAAGTCTTAAATTTAATAGCTACTTTTAATTTATGAAAAAAGAAATAAGAAAGCTATTTAAGGAAAGATGATTTTATCTTTTTTTTTTTATAACTTTTTTTCCATCTGAATTGTTATGACAAGCTTCCATGTCTTTTAAACACCCAAAAAGGCTATCTAAATAGAATAAAAAGAAGGTCCTAACACAAAGAAGATCCTTTAAGTAGCTAAGGAGGTCGAAGAAAGAAGGTCCAAGCAGAAAGAAGATCCTTTAAGGAGCTAAGGAGGTTAAGTAAATTTTTTTTGTTAAAAAAAAAAGTATGTTTGCTCTTGCTTATGAAGCAAATGTTCTACCAAAGCTTAAATATTTTTGTTTATAAATTAAAATTTTTCCCCACTGTGTAAGAGTATCAAAAAATATACAAATTAAAAAAGCACTATTAATGATAAATTAGAAATAAAATATTGTTGCTTGTGAACAAGTTATATATTAGTGGTTGTTTTCTTTGAAAAGTTTTTCCCTAAATATTTCTATTGCTAATATTTAGCTAAATCACAAATGATTTCTTGTGAAAGTGTTAGAAGTTATAATTTAGGTTGTATAAAAACATTTCGTTTCATATTAATTATAACTCAACTTAAAAAACTTTTTCATAATATTGTTTATAAAATTGTAATTATTTAATTATTGCATATTGCAATTTATTAACTATTGTATTTAGGTTTTTAAAAATTTTTTTAGTGTTCTATTTTTTCCTTTTATGCAAGTGTCAAGGGCCAATTTAAGTAAAAAATTCTGCGAACTGAAAGTTCCAAAATATTAATTATTAAGAAACTTAATTTATAAAAATTAAAGAACTTAATTTATTTAGTTTCTTAAAAAATCGTGAACTTAGATTTTATGGAGCTTAAAAATCAAATATAATTAATTTCACTGGGGCTCATAACTTACACGTATAAAATATTACATGTATGAAACAGCTACCTAGCTAGATTAACAGATGTATTTACCTGTATTAGGTATTTGTATTTACTTAGCTAGGTAAATACAAATAAAAATGCAGGAGAAAAAAAATACAAATACTATAAATTCAAATACTACAAATATGACAAATATTTTAGGAATATATAACTGCATTTAAATGATTGCTGTGACTCTATGAATCATAGAGTCACAGCAATCATTTAAATGCAGTTTATGAAAGATCATGCACGGAAGTCACCCACGGATGTTACAAATTTGTCAATTTCATGTAGTTATTTTTATGAAAATAAATTGCTATTGAGTATTTCAAGTGAAATATTATACTTCTGCGACTCATGTTTAATATATATTTTCGATGAGAAAAGGCAGTCATCAATTATTTCTAGCTAGAGTATGGCGTTTTGAAAATTATTGTATATTTTTCAAAATGTAGCGATATTATTACTCAAAAAAATAAAATTGTAAAAATGTGTATATTTAATTTATTCAGATACTTTAGTTATAATTGTTCTTTAAAGGGATCCCTAAGTGCTATAAAGATATGATCTCATATGAAAAAAGATAAAAAAAAAAATGTTTGATGTATATTTTTTTTTCTAAAACGTTATAATGAACACACACTAACAAATTTAATTTTCAAAAAAACGCTTTTCTTCGATTAAAAAAAATGCGTCTTGTCGAAAGTTTATTGACTCTACTGCCTCAAAAAACTAACGTTAGTACGTCAAATTAAACAAAGTAAACAAAATGTCATTATTGCAAACTTATTAGTTGGTAATTAAATTTAAAAGTAAAGTCGTTTTTTTTCAACTAACACATAATTACTTACAAGAATAAGTTTTGTAGCATTTTGTGAAAATATATTTGTATATTAAATTTTTTTTTATAATATTAATTTATATATTTGTGTTATAAGGGCAATTCCACGGCTAAAAATGAATAGAAGTCAAATTTTAAACTCTTTTTAGTCAGTTAAAAACAAATGAATATTGACTTAGACATATGAAAGTTTATTTAAAATATTTCCTTAGTAAAAAAATAAATTTATTTCAGTAATTTTTATGGTTCCAAAAGTGACGGTTACTCTCATTTTTGCTTGATACAAAAAATAATGATTGTAAAATGTTTTAGTTAAATTAACATTTATGTTAAATTGATATATTTTTTTGGTTCAAATTGATAAGGTTGAATAGACATTTTATTAGAAATTAATCTAAGACAAGCCTCGAATTAATGCAAAAAAATCTAATCGCGAAAAAAATTTTTTTTTTTTGCTCCCCTTCCCCCCCCCCCTCTCTTATAGCTCGCGCCGATGTGCGGTAATGGGGGGGAAAAATTATCGTCAATAAATCAAAAAACATCGTCAAAAACTTAGATACCACGTTTTTTATAATTTATTGTTTCTTGAATAAAGGACTAATAAAAGTTTAAATATAATTAAGTTTTTCATTTAAATAGTTGATGTTTTTATTCAATTTTTTTATTTCAAGTTTTCCAATAAAAGGTAAAACAAAAAAATTTGGTTTAATAAATCGAATTATACTTCATGTTTAAAATAAGGCTTAAAAACATTAAAGTAAAAAAATTGCTGGTTTTTATTAGCATATTTATACTGTTTAAAAAAAAAACTAATAAAAAAGAATTAACTAATAATATATTAATTAATAATTATATATTAATTCTTTTTTATTAGTTTTTTTTTTCAAACAGTATAAAAATGCAAATAAAAGTCAGTAATTTTTTTGCTCTAACGTTTGTAAGCCTTATTTTAAACATGAAGTTTTGATAAACAAAGATAAAAACCAACTTTTCAACTTTTCGCTTTGACAACCTTGTAAAAATTTAAAGTAATTTAAATTGAAAAATGTTTTACGTTGAAAGAAAATCTCCGCGCGAAAGAGCAAATCATCTATTCATCTATCTATTCAGAATAATAAATTTTGTGTGACGTTCTTTATGATAAAAACATTACTTTTAAGAATTGCTAAAAAAAATGCTAAGCTAGAAAAAAAGTAATTAATCAACCCAAAAAAAAAATGTCGCGAAAAGATTTTTTTTAAGAAAAAATTAATCACAAAAGTGTGTGTAGCAATCGCGATCGCGATACGCTTAATACGAGCCCTGTAAGACTTTTTTATAAGTTCTAAACTATTAAATAGTTTAGTTTTAAATATTAGTATTAAATAGTTTAACTATTACTTATAACTTTTTTTTAACGACGTCTTTCATTGTACTGTTTTTGCAAAACTAATTAAAAAAACTTGATTAAAACTTAACTATTTAATCACGACTTTTTTTTACTTGAAAATTGAAGTAGATATTCTAAAGTTGTTGTGACGTACTAACGTGATTTTTAACGACTAACAATCGAGTTTCAATGGTGAAAAAATCAAATCAAAATGGAGTTGTTTTTTAGTGATTTCGGCAATTGCTTTTTGTTAGCATGCATTTATTATTACAATTTAGTGAAAAAGAAAAAAAACTTACATATTTTTTTTTTTATGCTCTTTCATATGAGATCATATGTTAGGAGCACTTAGGGATCCCTTTAAGAAAATCAAAATAGTATGCATATTGCATAAAGTCCCAGCTTTAAATTGCTAAAACAAAGAAAAATAAAAAATCATGCACAGAAATGGAAATGCCCAACTTAAAAAATTATAGTTTATTGTTTAAAACTTGAAATAAAATTGCTATTATTGGTATAACTATGCGAAAATTTTTCGAAAATCCCTAAAATCGCTCGGA